GGAGAGCTAACAGGGTTCCCTGGCCGAGACTCCAAATTACCATCTCTGCCTGCCACTCCCAAATAGCTAGTATTATGAACAGTTCCCGCACCATTAGTGTCATCTCCAGCAACAACCAGCAGCAAAGGATGCGTGGTTCTGAACCCTTGGTTACCATCAGAAGCCGCAGGAAAGGGCTGCATCTGTAAGAATGAAACCGAGCCATCGCGCTTTGAAACTAGTTCACTGAAATTAGAGGCATCCTCCATATCGAAAACTTGAAACCCATTTTGATAACCGAGTAAGAGAACATGCTTGAAGGTAGACTGACTAAACTCTAGCCTGTCAAAGCCAGCCCAGGTTACCTGTTTCACCAATGGAAGTTCACAAGTAGTCTAGTATATATGCAGTAATATCAAAACCTCGCTAAGAAAAAACATGATAGCAACCACCAAATCCAACAAGAAGTTTGCTAATTCACTTAAAGCAACATAAACTGAAGACAGCATTCACCATTAGAGTAAAAACATTCATTTTGAAGTGCTTTTAAAATGACTAGAAGTGCTTTTAGAGAAAATGTTTTTAGGTTCCAAAATCACTTGAAGTGCTTCCTGCAAGTGCTTTTTCAGAATCCACTTGCAGTTTTACTAAGGATTTCAAAAATATTTTCACCAAAAGCGTTTTTAGTCATTTTAAAAGCACTCACGCAATTCGACAAGAAGTTTGCTCATTCACTTAAAGCAACATAAACTGAACTAAACATTCAGACCACTACAACAAAAACAACTCGTTTTTTGCCAAAATCCAAACACGAATCCAGCGATTCGACCTACTTAATCCTGCCATTGACTATAACCTCTCTCCCGCCCTAAAATTTCATAAAAAATCACTACTCCAACAAACAATCCGGAAACTAAAATCCAACAATAATCTCCAGAATAATTACAACAAGAATAATCAGCACTTCAAAAGCTTAAATAGGAAACAAAAATTCAACTAAACAGAAGCAAAATTAGGAAATCGCTTTCACACCTGATCCTTCTGATCCTCGGAAGCAGAAATCGAAGCAGCTACAGACGCACCGGCAGAGCGAACAGAAGAAGCGACGGTGCTGGCATTCGTCGACACAGTTTTAAGGCACGACGAAATAATCCTAAGCGAGTTCGGCAACAAGCCATTGTTCTTCCCCTTACTCTTCTTCATCCTCCACCGCCACCGCCTTCACCTAGCACTTCGTATCTTCCTTCAGCCTCCACCGCTGCTTCCGGAGCTATCCTCTCCGCCGCCGCCGCTGCCGATGAGCATCTCCGATCGCCGGCGATCGGATTATATAGCATCCGCTGATTACAGTTGACGATTACGATTAGGAAGGTCTTTGACTTCAACTACACCAACAACAAAGCTCCTCAACAAGGCGTGTGTGGTCTCGTCGTGTTCAGCTATATTCTCTCTCCTCTCTTTCTCTCTCTAAATGATCAGAGACTCCGTATTTTTCTTTCTTTATTTATTTTTTTCTCTTTATTTATTTTTTTCTCGTCGTGTTCAGCTATATTCTCTCTCCTCTCTTTCTCTCTCTAAATGATCAGAGACTCCGTATTTTTCTTTCTTTATTTATTTTTTTCTCTTTCGCTTTCAGTTTATTTCTACTTCTTTTTCTCTCTCATCGTCTCTCTCTCTCTCTCTCGTTTCTCTCTCTTCTGTGCGCGCTGGGCGTTGTGGTTATGTCTCGCTTCTGTGGTGCAAATCAAATAACAGTCGGTAAAAGTGATTTTTTTTACTGTGTAAATTTTGGTTATTTACTGTTTGGATTTGGTTATTAACTAAGAGTTAAACGCGTTTTGTTAGATAGTCCGGCGTAATCATTGTACCTTTTTGTTTTGATCTGGTCATCGTATTAAATTTTAGTTTTGTATTCTAAGAGGTATTTAAAATATCGTATACAAATTTGTATATACAAAGAAAATTTTTGGTTCAGTACTTCATCTTAACGACATAAAAAAAAAAATTGATCAAATTCTGTTGAGTCTGACTCATGGTGATCATTTATCAAAGAGCGATTTTAGTTATCAAGTAATTGAACAACTAGAAGCAATTTACTTACGATACTTAATTGACATTCATAAAAAGTATCTAATGGCTGACCGGCAATTATTAGTGATTCTCACTTCATGTAGGCGAGTTGCAGCCTACAATCCAAACTGAGGACGGGTTTTTGGAGTTAGTTCACTCTTGCGGGATCACAACCCTTTGTCCTGGGCATTGTAGCACGTGTGTCGCCCAATATATTGATATCAATATCAATTGATTTCGGTAGAAATTTAAATGAAACTTTAGGACAATGCCAAATATTGGTTTATACAAATTATAAGACTGTCTCCGATATTTAACCGATGTATCTGACATATACATCGACGACATTTGTCGATTTTGGCTGAAATTTAAGAGTTTCTTTGATGTGGGGACTTCACCCCCTTCCATACATCTTTCTATGACTTTTTTGATATTATCACGGAAATACTGACGAAATTCAAACACTAATTTAGGTAACATAGGTAATAACTAGAAAGGAAAAAAGAACCTATGTAGAAATCTAAGGCGAAATTGTTATCATTTTTCGGTTAAAAAGTATGATTGTGTGTGACTAGTTGATCTAGCATCATTCAAGTTGTAGTTGGTTAGAGGATGTATAAGTTTCATTCGTACGGATACTAGATATATTAGGTTTGGTTAATATTAAGTTGTGACATATTGTGATGCATTGACGATGAGTTTATCATATGTTGTAAAAATCTTAGGGTAAATGTCTTCTGTTTGTTAGAGAATACGTATAATTACCGTATGGAGACTAATGTTGGGTTTGGTTTGTGGGCGTGTGAGTTTTTTTTTTCTTCTAAGAAACGATAGTAGATTCATTGATAAGAGTCATTACATAGTTTGCTACAAGGCCATTTAAGGCATCACACTCTCTTCAATAATTAAATCTGAGATTAAGGTTGGGGGTTGGTTATCCCAATCACGGGCGTTGCTCATTGAGAGGCCCCAGAGAGCGAGTCTATGTGCTGCGTTGTTTGCTTTGCGGCAAGTGTTGGTTAAAATAGCTCAAGTGATTGTTGATAGCAGCTCCTTGATATCCTCCATAACTTGTCCAATGTCAGATAAGTCAGTGGAGGGGTTCCTAGACGCTTGAACAATCTGAAGCGAGTCGCTCTCACTTTGAAAGTTTTGGAAACCCCTATCTCCTGCCCAAACCAAGCTCGCCCTTACAGCAACAACCTCTACCTGCAGAGGGGAAAAACAATCCTGAAAACTGCCACACTGTGTGAGTTTGAGAATGAAAAATTGTTTTTTTCTTGTATTTGGTAAACACATATTGAAAAATAATTTTCTAGCCCTTGAAAATTAAAAAATAAATAAATAAATAAAAAGGAAAACTAATGTAAAGGGTTTGAAAACTTGAAGTTTTAACGATAATGACAAAATAAATGATAAAGTAAATAGTACTAGAATTGACTTTCTAGTGTAAAAATATAATTTTTCGTTAAAAATAAATAGTATCGAAAATTTTTCGTTAAAATTCCCTAAATAAAAACATTTCGTCCACCTCAAGTTTTATTTTCTTTTTCTAGGCCGAAACGCCGAAACCGAACAATAGCTATTATTTTATGACCAATATACCTTTAAATTACCAAATAATAAGAAAACGTGTAGAGTGGATAATGAAGTGGCATGGAAACGGAGGGAAGGGACGATAGCGTCAAAGTAATGAGAAATTCGGGGGAGTTGTTTGGTTGGGTGAAATACGCCATCCGGCGTTGGGGTTACGTGCCAGCCGGGTCCACAACAAAACTTGCCGATACCACCTATGGCTACCTGCGCCGCGCCGCACCACTTCATACCACAGCCTAGCCTACCCTATCTTAGCAAATACTTGATTAGACTGGGCAACTTTCAACCGTCGTTTATTGGATTTCATATTGTTTAGAAGAAATATTATCATCACTCGTTCATGTTTTGTTAAAATTCTCTTATCATTAATTCGTTATCGACGTAGAAGTAAGATTTGTGATTAGAAAAAGTTAAAATATATTTGTGAGTCTTTTTAGTCCAAAAAGAGGTAGATAATCATGATTTGTCATCAGTTATTTTTCTTTTAAAAAGAAAAAAAAAAAATCTTATCATTGATGCATATGGTCCATTGGGATGGGAAAAGGATCATCGCCATATCATTTTTCTGGGAATCCTCGTTTATCGTATATCTGCTATCAGAAATCATTTTAAATTTAAAATTAAATATAAATAGTACCTAACAAAAATTTGACCGCACGATATATGATGAATGGTCACGATCATGGAATTCCCAAGATTTCCAGGAAAAGGATTTGACAAGTATCATTTTCCATTGGGAATGAGAATTCTAGGGATTCTCAAATCGTGTCCGTTCATTGTATCGTCAGACATTATTCATATTTAATTTTAAATAAAAGTATTTAAAATGATTTCTGACAGTAATGTACGATGAATGAACACGATTTAAGAATTCTCGAAATACTCACAAAGAAGATCCGAATAAGATCCTCATTCTTGACGTATGTGCTTTGATGCATGGATTATCCCACATGCGACTCTAAAGTTGCTTAATTAGTAAGAAATGTTGAAAGGTGTGCCTCACTAAAACAACTCTCAACCCTCTAGAACCAACATTGAATGACAATACATGAAGTCACATAATTATATAGGAAGTGTAAGACAACCAAAGTTTCTCCATCGATTGACCATAGCCCTTTAATTTTTGTTTTAAAAACGAGGACTAGCTGATGACGAAGCTACGACAGTGATGAACATGTCACATATAATTGATAAGTCAATATCTTAGCAAAAACAAAAATACAACCAATATTGTGGTAGGAAAACATAATGCTTTATCATTACTTAACTTACTAAACATACTTTTCTTTGATTATGATTTGTATCGGATTCTATCACGTACACGCTGAGTTTGGATACAACACATTGTTACTCTTTTCTCTCTTTTTTTCCTTCTTTCTTTAACTCTTATATGGTTATATGTACACATTATATATGTTGAGAATCGTATTCATTCATTTCCTTTGTTGGACGGGTTGGACTGAACCACAAAACTCCTATAGTTTCCATGTCCATTACTCCAAGTTTCTGTGTCCCGTTACTTTACCCGCTTCCACGTTTCGAGAACCCGCCCGAATCGTTGCGTTAAGGTCTTCTGTGTCGATGAGCTCTTCGCGCAATGCCTTCCGGAAAATTGGCATTGATATGCTTTTCTTCAAGGACATCAGGCAGCTAAGATCTCCACTCATAAGTTGTACCACCTGTAACCACAGTGCAATTTTAAAAACCCATGTGCTTGGTGAAAAAGTACTTAGAAATGCTTCTTGAAGAAGCGTTCGAATGTGTTTCTCCCGAAAGCATTTCTATTACCTAGAAGCACTTTTTAACTTTTTTTCAAAATGCAATCAGAAACGCTTTACCCCTTCCATAAGCAAATCCAAATAGGTCATAATTTATGAAACAAACAGAACAGAACATACCTGACTCATACTTGGCCGGCGTGTCGAGGACTTGTGTATGCATAAAGAAGCAGCCAACAATACGAGATTCATCTGGCGACGGTTGTACTCATCAGCTAGAGAAGGATCAGCCAAGTCTTTGATTGAATTCTTCTTCAGCAAGGGCCTTGCCTATAAAAGTACAGAAATAAACTGTGAGTTCTGAATATTGTTCGACTTGTTTAAGCAAAATTAACGAAACGAAGATATACAGCATATGCTTGTGGAATTCAAGTGAAAGAAAAGTAGAAAACTTGCCCACATAACAAGGCTTTGCTGCGAGTAATCTAGAGCTCGTCGTCCAGTGACTAATTCCAAGAGCACCACACCATACGCAAACACATCAGTTTTCTCATCTACTATGCCGTGCAGTAGGAACTCGGGCGCAAGATAGCTGTGAATTGTGAGAAAAATATATAAGAACAAGACAAGCTAAAATCTTTGATAGATAACAGAAGATGAAGCAACTATAAGATTATATACCCAAATGTGCCCTCAAAATTTGATACAATGTGGTGAGTCCATTTCTCCGGTAGCCATTTTGCAAGACCAAAGTCACAAATCTGTGCGGAAGCCATCCAGAATCAGTCGCCGTATTCATATAACTTAATAGTCGAAGCAGAAAGAGTACAACAGAACAAAGAAATTCAAGCTACAAAACATAAAAGTTCAAAAGATCATACCTTGGCCTCAAAATCGTCGGTGAGCAAAATATTTGCAGCCTTAATATCTCTGTGGATAATTCTCCTTTGACAACCCTCATGAAGATATTGCAAACCCTTAGCTGCACCTACTGCAATTTTATACCGGATGCCCCAATCGAGTTTCTCTTCCTCGGAACCTATAAAAATAAATGTCAGTAAACAGATATTACTTTTATATACAAGACGATATAAATATATTCTAAACTACTCTAATTTATCGGGAAAGGGGATTCAAAAACTGTGGGTATACTTTCTGTTAAATGAAAATTTTGATGGCAACAAAAACTTTGGACTAACCATAAAGAACAGAAGCCAAGCTTCCTTTTGTAGACAGCTCAAGAACCAAATGCATGCCACCTTCAACCCCATACCCAATTAGCCTGGCAGTATTAGGATGATTCACATGAGCCATGATTCCGATCTCCGCCATGAAGTCGCCGGCGATCTCCTCCTGCGTTCCCCGGGTTAGCCGTTTGATTGCCACAGGTTGCCCATTTTCCAGACAGCCCTTAAAAACTTCAGCATAACCCCCCTTTCCAATCAGATTTTCTGTATCAAAACACAAGGATAACAAGTTAACAACTATCCCAATGCGTTTATAAAGCGAAATCGCTAACTAATGTTTCCGAAATTGGGATGCTGAGATGGGAAAATGTGACAAGTCTACTAACCGTGGCTAAAAGATTTGGTTGCGGCCTGCAGCTCATACAGGGAGAAGTTCTTCCACGGTGACTTGAAAGGGTACAGCATTTCGGCATCATCTGCCTGAAATTTCGGCCCGATAATGTCCCTCATGCTGCTGCTCATTCTCCTTGAGAATTTCCGCAGCGGACGCACTGTCGTGGCTAAAGGTTTTATGGACTTGGATGTCAACAATTTAACAAGTCCACCCCACCTAGAACTCTGTTTTGAATTTTGGTTAGCTTCTGAATCCGGCGTGGGCTCTTTCTCGGAGCTCGTTTCGGAATCCGAGCTCCGAAAATAGTCCTCAAGAACTCCCTTGGGAGAGTAAGCATCAACCTTCTCCTCCATTTTTTAGAAAGATCAGAACTCGCCAAAAGTCCAAATCTTTTCAATTCACCGAGCTGTTCATCTGTTCCTCTACATTACAAAAAACTCAAAAATTAGCTGAAAATTCAGAAAATATTGGAAGGGTTGAGAAAAATTGCATAAAGTTCAAAACTTTAGAACAAAAGTGTGGGAATCCATAAAGTCCGGGTAAAATAATTAAGACCCAATTAAGATAAACAAAAAACTGAAGAATCCCAAGAGGCAGAACAACTAACAGAGCTCTGTCTTAGCATGCAATTACTCAGTAAGGCAAAACTAAAAACACAAAGTGTGCAAAAACTTACATGCAAAACTAACAGAAAAACGAATGAGAAATTTTGGAATTTTGAACACACCATGGCGACTGAGCAGAGAAGGTTCTGTTACATTCCCCATAGAAAAATGGAATCATTAGAGAGAGAGAGAGAGAGAGAGAGTGTGTGTGTGTGTGTGTGTGTGTGAGTTTTCAGAGATTTGGAAGAGGTGGAAGAAGAAGAAGGAAAACAGGTGGACTTGGATTCAGAGTTACTCCAACCGCTCCAACCGATGGCTTCCTTTTCAAGGCTTCCCGGGAAACTATTCACAAATCATTTTATTTTGGTTTTTTTATCCATGGTCATTGAGATTAATATAAATTCCTCAATTTTGTTTTTGAAATTAAAATGGATAAAAGTAGTTTTTGAGAATGTTCATCGTCAATCATTTTGGTCATACTATGAGAAACATTCGTTAAATTGAGAGTATTTCTGTTAAATCAATATTTCACTTTAAATTAATGGTTTCTTCAATTTTAAATCTCATAAATCATTTAAAAATAATAATATTTGATAATTAAAAATTGTGTATATATATATATGTATGTATGTATGTATGTATGTATGTGTGGTAGGCAGGGGCCAGGGGGGTTTCTGTCCTGTCTATGTGGAGCGTATAACCCTAAATACGATTTGGTCCGGACATACATGGGATTTTGTGGTCAAAGTCGTAATCTAGCACGTGGAATTTGACGCTAGACCTATTTTTTTTCTTAATTTAACGGTCGAGATAGTAGAATATGAAATTTGAATTCAGAATCTCTTTAAATTGAATAAAAAATAAACCAAAGGGTCATGGATGACTCTTACGTTCACTTGAGTGATTAACCTAGTTCTATTTGCTCCACGATATAATTTGTAATATTTGTTTTAATAATTCTATTCTATGTGGGGAAATTTTATAATTTGTAAAACAAAAGAGACTACGTAGCTTAAAGGAGATTGGTAAAATGCGGGTAGATATCTTAAAGCCAAATATCTGTGTAGTAGAAAGAAGAAGAAAAAAAACCAAATATACGTTGCATTTTCTCGTTATATTGTGGATGCAGATGATGCAAACTAATGAGAGAATCAAACTCGTGATATAAATGTGAATTCATAGATAAAGTGTTTTACAATCGACATTAGAATTTAACTAAAAAATTGTAATTACCATATGCGGCAAAAGTATGCGTTGAATACCAACTAGCTTTTAGTATAGCAGTGCTTATTTTTCCGATATTAAAATATCTCTCAAGTTCGAAGTCTTCTTGTATGATGAGATACACAAAAGTTTGGTTAACAATGTGAAACCTACCGAATACAACTACTTATAAAGGGCTTTGATAGAAAATATATTGCTTTATTACACTAGGAATCCTTAAAGATGTAGTAATTCAAGATCGGAAGTAAATTAAAGTAAAAAACTAATCCTAAAGATTTTAGGATTTTTTTTTTTTTTTTTTTCCAAGGGAACAATATTGGTTATGGGAATACCGACTGAGAATATGATTAATTTATTTTTAGGCAAGTTTCCGAATTTATGGCTCGTTTAGAAGTACTTTTAAAATGCCAGAAATCGCTTTTTGTGAAATTGATTTTGTGTTCCAAAAGCACTTTAGGTGCTTTTTGGAAGAAGCACTATAAATGTGCTTCATGCAGGAATCACTTAAAGTACTTTTACACGATTTATTTGCATTTTTAATAAACAATGGTTTCATAAACATTTTTTTCAAAAACGTTTTCAGTCATTTTAAAGTTACTCATAAACGAACTCTTAGTATGCATTAAGTGGTGCCGATTGGTGATGGCAGTCTTCACTCTTGAAGTTAGGGTTTTGGACCTTTGGTTGTGTAAGTTTACATACGATTATGCTAGATTTTAGTTATACGGATTATTTAATATTTGTGTGGTTTTAGCTTCGTTTTCTTAGGATTAGTGTGCCCTGTCGATAAAAAATCATCATATATATGAGAGATTCTTTAGTGTGTCAGTAAACGGTTTTGTACATCAATAATAATAAAATTAGTCGAAAGTTTTTTTTTAAAAGTTTTCAATTAATGTATTATTACACTTGATGTACATGGTTGTGTTTTCGACACCCGACACACTAAAAATTTTCTTCACATATAGGTGTGCCTATCTAATGGTGATGCGGACCTTTGCATAAGACTGTCCAAAGTCAATTCAGTTGAACTTGATAGGATTGGTAACCTAGCTTATCCCTGATGGTTGATGTTTGGTGCCTAATTAATAATTAATAATAATATAAATATAGAATTAACACACAATCTTAGTAAAATAATAATCATTATGTACAGATGCAAAAGCAATACTGGTCCATGATTAAGACTTTATAAGGTGGTATATGAATATTGCATTACTTTGTGGACTTTTGTGTGGAGCATACCATGAGTACCTGCTAAATGGTAGTAATCACACATGCTATACCTGCTAAAAGTCCGTAATACAGACACATACGTCATATATGATTATACAAGTGAAGAGACACTTAAAAAAAAAAAAAAAAAAAAAATTTCTCTCCATTTCTATAATGAAATATGACGTACCGTCCTAAATTTCGAGCGCATTGAAAAAATTTTCATTATCCGCACATGATTAGTTAATTTAGTAGAATTCGGTCTTCATTTAGTTAGAGATGTCATATTCAACTCATGAGAAGGACTTACGTTGCATAAGGTCACTACTGCTACGACGTTCCGTGCCATGTAAGTACGTTAAAAATGGGGTGTGATATCTACACATCTTTTTTTACTTCTCCCACATCTTTTTAGTTTTCAGCCGTTAGATCGGATAAATTGAAGAAGATCAACGGACATAAATTAACAAGGGATGTGTGAGAAGTAAAAAGGGGTGTGTGGATAGCACACCCCATTGAAAATTAGTAATTGTCCATTTTATTTTAAAAAAAATTATTATTAGCACTTCAAAATTTTCATTTTGCACTTCAAAATTTCTATAATTAGAAAGAAAATACACTTGTTAGGAGTGCAGAATGAGATTTTTGGAGTGTTAATAACAGTTCTCTTATTTTATTTTAAGAGAAATGTTGAGAAGACTCTTTTAAAAGTGAGACTCTCTATAGACTTTCCGACACCTTTTTGTCTTATCGTCATCATCCCCTTGAGTTCAGTAGACCGATCTTCTTGGCGAAACAAATTACCATTCATGAAAAATGATAAAGTAATTTAATGATTTATTAGGTTGGAATTTAACGTTTTTGTAACAAAATGAGGTGAAGTGAGATGAAATGAGTTGAAAATAACAATTTCAACTTTCAACGGACAATTGAATTAATAAGCCTAAATATTATTGGTTTCGACCCGACGAACACTTCCTTAGTGACTTTGTAATAATTTCAAATGCAATGATCACTTCAGTTCACTTTGCATGAAATATTCAAAACCCTCACGCAAGGAATTTAGATTATGAGAATGATTATGGACAGTCTTCAATCGCAAATCAAGAAATCGTTACAACTAATCATACCCATCACACAATATTAATACATTTTTAGGTTGTCTTACATAGACTTGAATTTTTTGTAAAACTCGATAACTCGACACAAAACGATACGAAAATAATAAGTTTCGGACCAATCTGTTAATGAGTGGATCGTCATTGGGTCACGCATTAAGGACCCATTAATGAATCAGGTCAAAGTCACATGTTACGAACCTGATAATATATCGTTTGCTAGATCTAGATATTAGACATGACAATTAATTTCTTGCATAACCCTTTAACCTGACACGAAACCACATGACCAGTTTATTAATCGAGTCACGTCACCTACTAAGAATCCGTTAAGATAACAAACTTGACATGACACGACCCGTTTGTTAGGCAATATATATATATATATATAGAGTTTGATGCATAACTAATTATATATAATCCTACAGAATCGCTTGTTTCTTAAGCTTATAGATCATACCACCAATCCATGAGTAATAATATAATTTTATGAAAAATAAAAATTATGTCGAAATGATTCAGAGACAGCCCTAAATTATGTATTCTGGTAGGTGGGAAATTTCAATCCAAGCTTATTTAAATCAGGTTCAGATATCCTAACGGACCAACGAACTCTCTTATTCTCCCATTAAAATTTAAAATAACAGAAAAAAAAAAATCGTTGTAAAATAAGTTTTAGTTTCGATTGACATGAATAGTGAAAGCGACATATATTTGTGATAGGTTCAGGATTTTAAGTGAAAATTATTCTCTTAGTTGTGATTTATCCCTGCTTATGTACCTAAGTCTATTGTGACACTGTTATTAACTGCATTATAAAATCTTTATATATCGTCTCGTTTGTTAAAAAAAATAAAAAATAATTGACGAAGTACTGCTATTGAAAGTTGACGTTTTAATTAATTAAATAAAATTAAAATAGCTAATTAAGTTATGAAGGATGAACAAAGGATGCATGGCTTAATAACATATTAGCAATGTCTATATAAGAATAATCTGGGATATTCAAGAATATTCTCAGAAGCTTCATGGCACAATTTAACGAGGATATCAACAAAATTTTTCACGGAATGACTAAAATAATTTACTGTGAACAAATTCATAAACCACTTATGCTGATTTTCATTGTGAGGGACAAAGTGCGCCAATCTCAAAAACCATTTTGGTTAAAAAGCCATTTAAATTCCTCAACAAATATGAAAGAAAAACAAGTTAAGCTCCTGCATTGCAAATGCTTATATTTGTTATTTGTTTATTGGATAACAAGAAATTGCAAGACACAGTATTCGTGTGCAAGTTAGCATAGATGATTCTTTTTTGGATTTTTAGTAATATCACACGCAATACCTTGTGGGGATGATGTCAAATAATTGTCCATGTGATGTGGGATATGTTGAGGCAATCACAAGATAAGGAATTTTCTTCCCATTTTTGCGATGACATAAAACGGTTTTTTGATCAATAATTAACTTAATAAATATTATAAAATCAGGCCCTTACACGAAAAAAATTTATATGTCTCATCGTGTTATGATATGAGTAGACGATAAAGTTGATATAAAAAGCATATATACGTGTTATTATTTAAGTGAAATAATAAATTATATGACAGTATTTTAGCTACAGCAAAAATTTGCTCCGCGTATAATGCCAAGATAATTGTTGAGCCAAGTTGGAAGTAGTTTGGTGTTGAAGTTGGTTCCTCGTATTTTACAACTTGAGTAGTGAGAGGTGGATTTTCCTCTTTCTGTTTATTTTGGTTGAAAAGAAAGCTGAAGGCTTCAAATCTTGGATAGGGAGAGAATCCAAGTCCCTTAGATAGAATCCAAGTTACTTGCATTGCTTTTATTGATTCACAAACAATTGGGTGCGGAACTAGTTTGTAACTCAAGTCGTCAAAAATACTTAATTTTATTTTGAAAATCCACGTGAATTGATTGAGATCTGTTGAGGTTTTCTATCAAACTTCTTTTTTGACGATCGGTATGCAATATACAATTGTATTCACCGAATCCGAATTCGATTCAACTTAATTTAAAAATCAAATAAGTTTATAGTTCAAGTAATTAAGAACATTCGTTTATACTTCGATTACAATTGAATTTGATGAATCGGAATCCAACCCAACCAGAAATAATGGTGAACAAAAGATAAAAGAGAGATCAAGCTTAGTTTCGTGCAATCTATAGAAGCCCAAAAACCAGCCGAAAGATCTTGTCGACCTTCACTTATTAAATCCATTGGGCCTAGGGTTAGTTACCGTTGCATATCGGATGAAGAAAGTTTCTCATTAAACCGATTATCCTATATGTCTCACTCATCACATGCACAACGAAATCCTAAGACATGTAGTAGGCAGTGGTAAACTTAGGATTCTAATTTTAGGATGTTTCAGTGTTAGAGTACAAGTTTTTAGATAGAAACAAATTTTGAAGGCGTAAATTTTTCTTAGTTTATTTACAGAGGCATTTCGTCAAATATTTGGTGGGTTTGTTGTCGTCAGTCAAATCATGTTGTGCACATGTTAATAGATACGACATTTGTCGAAGCAGCCTGATAAGTGATATCGAGAGTATTTGTCCAGTTCTGTAGACACAACTCTATTTTTGCTTGACAAATATTACATCAAACACTTGGTAAGCACAAAAATAACTCGTAACAAACATTCAAAGAGTCATCGAAAGACCTTCACATGTATATTTTTCAGATTATGAAAAGTCTTGGAACCACCTTGGTCCCAAAATACATATGTCCTGACAATAGGTCCTAATTAGACACAATTTTTTTCCCATGAGCTGAGTCACGGTGATAAGGTTGTAGAAAATACGAAACAGACAAACGCATCCATTAAAAAAAACGCTCATTGGTTGGCATTCGGGGTTTTTGGGAATATATACGCCCAGCACACACTCGTTGAATTATAATTAATCGGCATATGATTAAAAATTAAATGCATTATAATTTGCCAAATTGTTATGGAAACTGGGCATGTCTATTATTAATAAGAACAATACTTGACTGTTGAAAATTCAGCAACCATTCCTGTTTTTATCCAATTAGATTTGGACACGTGTCCAAATAATTAAAATTGTAGACGCAAATTAGACACATGTCCAAATTTTATTGGGTGAAAGAACCACATATTGTTCTTATTAATATTCGTATATCTAACTAGAGTCTCATAACTTTGTGATAATTTTTATGTACTTTTTCTTTCAAGCTTATGTTCTGTTGTCTAAAAAATATTTTTATTCGTATATCAATCGTGACAAGATGCTAGCTAGGTATAAGATCAACTTGGAAAGTGAAGACGACTTATCGGCTTACTGTATATGTTTGAATTTAAGTATCGTGTGCACGAGTGTTATATTTTAAACGTGACACTAACATTTTGTTTTGTTACAGTTAGGTGCATGCATATCAGCATGTGGGACTTTATTACAATGTATTATTCTATATGCTATGCATGGATTGAGATTAAGACATCAAACGAGACGATTGATATGTTTACTTACTTGAAATAAGAAGCAACAAACTTATGAAGTTGACAATACAATAGAGAATGAGCATGTACAAGAATGTGCATATATACTACGATCAAATACTTTTGTAATCAATCTAACTACGTATTTTTTAGTATTGGATTACTTGGGTTGTTTCATACGTGCTGATAAACTCATGAAAATCAAGAATCGAAACAACCTCAACCATCACGGAGTAGTCCAATAATTGGGATGATTTCTAACCCTGTATTTCACACAGTAAATCTTGCGTTCGATTTCTGACGTTGGTGAATCATACGATAATGACAAAAAAGAGACTAAAATACTTCTGTGAATATTCTCAATTCCCAAAAAAAAAAAATACGTGACGAAACCCCAACTGATCTCTTTTAAAAAAAATGGAAACAGCCCCAACACCCATTACCATTAAAGGTTAGAGAATTCAAATCTTCTTCCATGCAAAAAATGCTAAAGGACTACTTGTCTACCTTCTAGAAGGAGAATAGTTGTTAAAAGGTGGTTCTTTTTGACCAATTTTTTGTTTTACTTGTGTTAATATTTCGTTTAAAATATCGTTACAATGATATTTCATTAGGTATCTTATGCGTTCGGCTTCAGATGCTACAACAACGTTTTGTCACTTAACATTGTGTGATCAATTTTAAATACCGCTGCAATAACGTTTTCTCTCAGCCCGCCACCTACTCCAACTCAGTCATCGCCAGTTCCGTCAACCGTCAAATTGGCTGGCTGGACTAATTTATCTAGCCGCAGTAAGCACTTGTTCTCCGCCGCAGTAAGCACTTCTACTCCGCCGCAGTATGCCCATCCAAACAGCCCCTTATGAGACCGTAATGTCCTCCTCCTTCCTCTTCCTCTTCCTCTTCCTCCTCCTCCTCCTCTCCTCCCTCCCCACCCCGTCCCTCTCCCAGCTAAACGCCACCGTTCCGTGCCCCCTCAACTTCACTATCCTCCGCCAGTTCGACCCGGGCTCCCACAACCGCCAACGCTACGACCGCAACACCGAGTGCCAGTACCTCGTCCAGGGCCTCCGGTTCGTCGACTCCGATTACCTCCGCCGCACCGGCAACTTCCTCCCCCCGCTCAACGCCTCCGAGTCCTGCTGGACCGATTACCAAGCCCTAGTCAACGAGTTCGTCCCCAATTTCGACATTCGCGCCAAGTGCGGCTTCCAGACCAGCTGGATCTCCGAAGGATGCACGAACGTCTCCACCAGATCCCAATTCGAGTCCCAAGTGGGAGACACCTCGCTCAGCGACGTCACCGCCGCCTGCAACCAGTCTCTCGAAAACGGCTCGCCCTGCGCCCTCTGCACCACCAGAATGTCCTTGCAGAGCTCGCGGTTGACAGGCGAGTCCGTCGGAAACGTCTCCACCTGCACGGCGTACCCGTCCATTTACGTGGCGGCTTTTGTCGGACCGATCAATATGGGCACCGCCGTGTGCTTGTTCTCGCTCAGAAGCCCGGCAAAGAGCTCCGGTAAGAAGAAAAAGACTGTAATTTTGATTGTATTGGTTGTTTGCGGCGTTGGCTTGCTGGTTGTGGTCGGCGGCGTTTGGTTTTTGTGGCATAAATATGAAGAATTTATGATTAGGAAGAGGAAAAAGGATGCTAGTGATAAAATCGAGCAGGGATTAGGTTCTGCTTTAGATTCAATTAGTGGAAGTACTAATTTAATTAAGTTTAAATACGAGGAGATTAGTGCTGCAACTAAGAATTTCTCTAGGGACAATATAATTGGGAGAGGAGGATATGGGAATGTGTACAAGGGAATTCTGGATGATGGTTCTGAAGTTGCATTGAAGAGGTTCAAGAACTGCTCGGCTGCTGGCGATGCAAATTTCGCCCACGAGGTTGAGGTGATTGCGAGTGTTAGGCATGTCAATCTTGTTGCTTTGAGAGGTTATTGCATTGCCACTACTCCTTTGGTGGGTCACCAGAGGATCATTGTGTGTGATTTGATGAAGAATGGGAGTCTCCATGACCATTTGTTCGGTTCGTTTGAGGGCAAGCTTAGTTGGCCTATTCGTCAGAGGATCGCGCTGGGGACGGCGAAGGGATTGGCTTATTTGCATTACGGGGCTCAACCAACTATTATCCATAGGGACATCAAAGCTAATAACATACTTTTGGATGAGACATTCGAGGCCAAGGTAGCAGATTTTGGGCTTGCGAAGTTTACACCTGAGGGAATGACGCATTTGAGCACGAGGGTGGCTGGAACGATGGGTTATCTTGCTCCAGAGTATGCGTTGTACGGGCAGTTGACAGATAAAAGTGATGTGTATAGTTTTGGTGTTGTGCTCCTTGAACTTTTGAGTGGAAAGAAAGCGCTCCATGTGATTAATGATAATCAACCGTCACTTGTGACTGATTGGGCGTGGGAGTTGGTTAGGAAAGGAAGACCGCTGGATGTTATTGAAAATGATATGCCGGAGAAAGGTTCACCCGAAGTTCTAGAGAAGTATGTATTGATTGCCGTTCTTTGTTCTCATCCACAGCTGCATGCTAGGCCAACGATGGATCAGGCTGTGAAAATGTTGGAAACAGATATATCGGTTCCATCAATTCCCGAAAGACCAATGCCCCTTGTGGCAAATATTGACGACATTGAAAGATACAGCAGCAGTGGCTCAATCCAGCTCTCTACTACAGGTGGTTTTCAGACTTTTACATTCGAAAGTAACCTACATTCTAACCCTAATAGAGACGGGGAAAGTTCCGGTACCAGAGAGAAGGGTTGTGACTTGTGAGTTAATTAACTCGAAGAAGAAAGGAGTAGCGACACTCTGTCTTTGACAGTTCCACTAATAGGTATGTTCACCCAGATTTGTTTTGTTAGCGCAGATTGTGTGGTTTTTTATTGAAATTTCTCACTGTAAATATGAAATAGATGTATGATCAAACCCGATTCTTTACTCAAGTCAAATAGAACAAATTAAATGTATATTACTGTCATTGTCCTCTGTTGCTTGAGCCCCTAGAAGATAGAAAATATGGAAGCTTTGTCAATGTCACACTTAAGTTATTGAAGCGTAATCCGAAGATGTCAACTTCGTCCTCACATCGTAGGGTCATAGTTAAATGTTATCCTTTTGCTACGAGTATCTGATGTTCTTTTTGTTTACGGTGGATGCATACATGCTAAGATGCGTAATTAATAGCAGTCATCGTAGACTGGTTGGTTTAATGGTATTGATGTATATGTTCGATTGGTTATTTCACAGTCCAATGCAATGAAATCAAAAACCAGTACAAGGTAGGTAGTCTCATGTGACATGAATCGTCTTTTCAAGGACCAATTCTTACGTCCGGTTGCCTGTTTACGGCTCCACCTCCGTCACGTCTCTTGTGAGTGTGACGCAATATGTGGGCGGATGGACATAAGAATTTCTCCGTTCCCATAATCTTTGCCTATACTTTGTTTTGACAGAGTGGGCACTGGGGTATCAAAGCTGTCGATGCACATGGGAGGTAGATCTCTGTGTTTGTATATGCAAATTGTTTTCAAACGTACTTGTATGATAGGGCAGCTTCACTTGTCAAATGTCTTGGGCCCACAGCCTTCTCACTATAGAGCTTTGCTCACCCGCGCATTTTTCTTCACGTTTGAACGGTTGAGATTTAACCAAATTATTATTATTTTGTAGCGTGAACCGTTCACTTGTGATGAAAAAATGTGCAGGCAGATTTTCCACCATCAATCAAATTTTCTGTTTAGAGATTTTTTTGAAGTCTGAAGTGCGTGACTAATTGGACTGAAGACCGCAAATACTAGATTATCATTGTAATTACAGATACATTTTTAGATATGTCTAGATCAACAACTCTTTCATTTCATTAGAATTTGTGTTCCTATCTTTATTTTCTTGGTTACATGCAAATGGAGTTTTGTAGCAACGTCAATGTCTGATCCCTGCACCCTAATAGACCCGACGTGTCAACTCTGTCGACGTACCAACTCAGTCGTCTATTGATATTATGACACGTAGATTATTAGTCATTGATATTATAATATGCGGATTATTAGCATTGTCACGAGGGTTAGATAAGATCTAACAAAATAGAAAATTAAGAATCCAGATCCTCTAGGATCCGTGAATTGTGTCTGTTCATCGTACATCGTGCGGTCAGAAATCATTTTAAATATTTTTATTTAAAATTAAACACATACAATACCTGATAAAAATTGAATGTACAATGTATGATGAACGAATACGATTCACAGATCTTCAAGATACAAAGGTACAGCCTGAAAAGTGAAATAGAACCTTATGTTTTGTCTATTCCGATCGAATAAGGTGAAATTGTGAATTTGATAAATGACTCGTGTGAAAATGTTTTAAAATGGTTAAAAGTGTTTTTTATGAAAATATTTTTTAAATTAATTTTTAGTTAAAACGTAAAGGAATTTTGGAAAAATACTTGAAGTACTTTATACAAGAAGTACATAATTAGTGCTTCTTGCAGGAAGCACTTTCGTGCTTTTGAACTCAGAAATATTTTCACCAAAAGTTTTTAGTCATTTTAAAAGTACATCTAAACGATTCCATTAACATGATTAGGATCTCATAGTTGATATTTTTATGTATAATTTTTGTAATTAATTTAATTTAAGGGAACTTTAACGAAAAGCTTCCAGTACTGTTTATTTTAACGAAAAACCACAATTTTACACTAAAAAATCAATCATGGTACTATTCACTTTACCCTTTATTTTGTCATTTTCGTTAAAACTCAAAGTTTTCAAACCATTTTCATTAGTTTTTTCTTAATTTAATCAATTAATTTTGTTTTTTCATGTGGAAGCCAAAAAGGAAGCTCAAGGCTAACAATCAAAGGTGAACTTTTTCTCCAAAGAATGGTTGTTCAATGACTGAATTTTCCTTACTAAGAAAGTGATATTATCGTTAGGTTTCTCTTGGTATATGTTTTTCCTACCAAAAAAATAAATTTCAAAAAATATTAAATATCCGCTGAGATTTATTGGTCCGACAAATTTTCAGATTTTCGGCTAAAATTAATAAGAGCAAATAATCAATTGAATATTGGAAATTGTCATAAAGCTTGGATTTTTTTTCCCGAAATGGCCATTAATCGGACCACAAAATTGATTAATTTAGAAGTAAAAAAAAAAAAAAAAAAAATCAAAAGATTATAAAAAGAAAGAAAATTAAAAGATTTACTGGCGGCCACCTTGAGCAGACCAGCCACCAGACCACATGTTCCACACCTACATCAGCACATCTTATCTTCTCTCTGGTGTTTATCTGATCATTTTTCCTCTTATTCTTACGTGATTATGATATTTCAATCTAATTTTAACTTGACTAATTTTGAGGATGAGTTTTGGTATAACGGAAATATTATTTATTTATGACAAAAAAGTTACGGGTTTGAGCAGTAGAAACAGCTTATTTGCAAAACAAAAGTAAGACTGCGTACGAGAGACGTCTTTTCCCAACTCTCGTAAAATGAGAAACTTCGTTAGCCTAAGAGCGCCCTTAACTTGATCAATTTTAAAATGAATCTAAATTTAAATGAGAGGAGATTCTAAACTTAAATGCAGACAAAAAACACACTGCTCTATCCAGCTTAACTATTTAGTTGCTTAGACGACAAAGACTCGTTTGGATACGGCATGATATTCCGTTTTATTTTTTTACTTGCGCGGTGATTTTACTGTCTGCATTGTCTGGCATGCAATTGGTAGCAAAGCTTTTGAGGAAGTAAATTTGTAACTACTTGGAACACTACTGTCAATGTGAAGCAGTGCCTAACTTGACATCCCTTCTGGCTCGTTGAAATCTCTCTCTCTCTACCTAATAAGAAAGAGAACTTCCATTATTTCATACTTTATGCTCACACTTCCCATCTCTTTGAATCTTAGTTTGTTCGCTATTTATACAAGCTCTTCGAAGCCGTTCGAGTTAAAATTCCGTCAGCAGCCTTGTTGTTAACCTTGTTGCCAAATTCCATCTATATAACTCAGGCAGGCATGGCAACCAAGGAGGATGTGGAGAGTGATGCGCAGGAGGGAGTACGAGCGCCGTTCATGGCGAACGTAGCGGGATCAGCTAGTGGAAGCGGGGGAGGGAACCTGTGGATGGTTTATCTCAGCACATTTGTTGCAATTTGTGGCTCTTATGAGTTTGGATGCTGTGTAAGTGATTGTTGTGCGTTTTTTTTAGCTTTTTATTGAGATTTTAGAGAGACGGGCCAATGGTTCACTGAAAAATTGTGATGTTTAGATAGTTTATCTAACACTCTTGTATTGCTTTCAGGCCGGATATTCTTCGCCTACTCAGTCCGCAATCCAGGAAGATCTCAGTTTATCATTATCTGAGGTATGGAAGTGATTAAAACATCTATAACTCATCCAAGCTGTTTTGTTTGAATGGTTAAATTACGAGTCAAAATCCATATCTGCAGTGAGATATGAAGGACGTGACAAACTTTCCTACATCTGGGACACCATGGTAGCGGTTGGATATCCCGAGCCAGTGAACTTCCATGTGCTTCAACTTTTTCATGTAACAGTTGTGTTACTGCCTTGGGATATACAACCACCATGGCGTCCCAGGTGCGCTTCGCATTGTCTGCCGAGCCGGCAATACAGGCGAAGAAGACCTACATAGCGTGCGTGAATAGTTTCAGATTCAAGAAACAAAGCGTAAAAATTAGTATCTAATATGATTTAGAGATTTGACAGTACAGTGGGAGAATTTTCTCGAAGCAATTCGATTATACTTTCAGCACAATGCTTTTGCAAATTTTCTTTCAGTTAACCTGCTGGTTTTTCCTTTGTATGCAGTATTCAGTGTTTGGTTCCATTTTGACATTTGGTGCAATGGTAGGAGCTATCACTATTGGACCTATCGCTGATTTTCTTGGCCGAAAAGGGGTATGAATTCAAAATTTGTGTTCAGAACTTTTAGCACTAAACTTGTGCTGTTTTAATTGGTGTTCTATTTGCTATCTAACGATATCTTCACTGTAAAATTGTATGCAGGCCTTAAGAGTGTCATGTGCTTTCTGTGTTGGAGGTTGGCTTGCTATTTACTTCTCCAAGGTTTGTATCATTTTGCACTGGAATTTCTCTGTGCTTTTAGATACTGAGCAAATGTTCTACTCTGAAATTTGAGCTTATTCGTGTTCATCATTTTTCTCCATTGAAGGCTGCTTGGTTGTTGGACATTGGGAGACTGCTAACTGGATACGGAATGGGAGCTTTTTCGTACGTGGTGAGTTATTACCTCCTCTATAACTCGAGTATTATGTTCCTGACAAGTTATTAACCAAGTGTGATATGTTATTGGATGAATGATAATTAAGGTACCTATTTTCGTAGCTGAAATTGCACCCAAAAATCTTCGAGGAAGATTAACCGCTGCAAATCAGGTAAATACGTAGCAAGAAACACAATCCTTGAAGCTAGTTAGTAATAATATTTTGTGAGTTTGTTTGGATCCTATCTAACTTTTTCATTTGCTCATTGTATAGTTAATGATCGTAACTGGAGTGTCTGTTTCCTTCATAATCGGGGTAGTAGTAAGTTGGCGAACATTAGCATTAATCGGTCAGTTTTTTTAGACAAACTGTGTTGAATTTGAATACCCTGTGTTATCAAAAACAGTAGCAGAGAGGGATCATTTGTGTGGTGATTGCAGGACTTATTCCCTGCGCTGTGACACTTCTTGGTCTCTTTTTCATTCCCGAGTCTCCAAGATGGTTGGTAAGAACTTCGCTTTTGTTTCCGCATCTACTTAAGTTAGCAGCATTAGACGCAGTGAAGACATCGATTACAGCTTCATCATCAATGCAGGCAAAGACAGGACGCAATCAAGATTTTGAAGATGCGCTACAGAAACTGCGCGGCAAAGATGCTGACATATCTGAGGAAGCAGAAGAAATCCAGGATTATATTGCAACTCTTGACTTGCTTCCTAAAGCCAAATTTCTGGATTTGTTTCAAAGGAGATACTGGAGCTCACTCATTGTAATGGCTTCTCTATACATCGCTTGTACTGACAGTTTTGTTATCTTTCCTTCTCTTCCGAGTATAACTTTTCTTTGCTAACAAATTTTGTTCGATCAGATCGGAGTTGGGCTGATGTTCTGTCAGCAACTGGGAGGAATCAACGGGGTCTGTTTCTATGTGAGCGATATTTTTGAACAAGCAGGTATGAAGACCCCGCTTTAATCTCTTTTTTTTGGTATTTAAAGCAGATAATCTTGTTCTACAGTTGAAATGTAAACGTTCTTTTTCTCAGGATTTTCCTCCAGCATTGGAACTATAACTTATGCTATCCTTCAGGTTCGAAAGTACTACCATGAGAGCTCTTGAATTTGTTTTATTTTTTCTCCATTTGGTGCATCTTGACGCGGTTCTGTTTGACAGGTTATAGTTACCGGCATTGCTGCAGGCGTGATGGATAAAGCTGGACGCAAGCCTCTAATTTTGGTAAACTAGTGCACAGCTTTAGCTCTAAGAATGTTCCGAGACAAATTCCAATTCGTATCAGAAGGTTTAATTTTTCCTTTATATTCTAGGTCTCTGCAACCGGGTTGGTGCTTGGCTGTCTCTTGACGGCAGTTTCATTCTTTCTGAAGGTAATCCTCAAACGTTGACCCTAACATCTTTCGGTATAAGGTTATCCAACATAAGTCTGACAACAGATCGCTCTTTGTGGATCAGGTTCATGAATTGGCACTCGACGCAGTTCCCATACTTGCTGTAACTGGCATACTGGTACTTCATTACCTTTGTGGCGACATGTTTCCCACTCGCATCTCTCTTTTGAAATCAAGCTTTTGTTTCTTCTCCTTGAATCTTTAACCATTCGTTTATGGATTCAGCTCTACATAGGAGCCTTTTCGATAGGAATGGGAGCAGTTCCTTGGGTTGTGATGTCCGAGGTATAGGAAATGCATACAATTTACTCATTTATCCGTCCATGATTGCGTTGATCATGTCACCTATCTAAACAAATTTACTGTCTGCTGCAGATATTCCCGATAAACATTAAAGGGCAGGCCGGAAGCTTAGCAACGCTGGTGAATTGGCTCTGCGCATGGTTGTGTTCCTACACTTTCAACTATCTTATGAGTTGGAGCTCCTACGGTAACTACATTTTCCTTTCTTGTTACAGAAGCCAACTCTTTTGGAAGCTAAAAGTTCATGCTTAAGGATTTGCAGTTTTGTAGAGCTGATGATTTACTCGCACGCGATTTTCAGGTACCTTCATTCTCTACGCCGGAATCAACGTTCTGGCGATTTTGTTCGTGGTGGCGCTGGTGCCCGAAACGAAGGGGAAGACCCTGGAACAGATCCAGGCAGCCATGAATAAATAGAACTGAAGCAAGAACTGAAGAGCATTCTTTTTAGAAGTTAAATCCTCATTGAAAATATTTTGGCAGCTCAATTCAGAAAGATGGAAAATCTTTGAAGATGCTTCAAATTAAAACCACAAAATTATTGTACTGCTATTTTTACGATGATTAATTAAGTTTTTATTTATTGACTTAAATCGGGCATAGGCATGAGCTAGAGGGAGGTTGGACCTCAAGCACCAAACCTACCAAAATTTATTACAAAGGAAAAGAGAAAAGTACAAAGAAGGGGGACATGCAGCTAAAATTTCGGAGGAAGATTGAAACAACCTATATGAAACGATAGTTAGGCATGTCCAATCAATCACGATGACAGTTTTGTTTGCTTCTTTCTGGTAACGCCTGTTAACAGTGATGTTTTGGTGTGTCACGATGCGAGGGTTAATGCATGTCATGGCTTGTCTTGATACGATAACCTTCGTATCGTGGCACGACGGAACATTGTTGTTTGTCGCGATCGCGAATTGTCGGTGGAATGCATGTCATAACATGCCACGCATTATGTCGACAATTCACGAGTCTTGTTATGGCGTGACACAATGCGGGGGTTAGTGTGTCATGACAAGTCATTACACACCATGCATTTTTCTAACATTTTGCCTATTATTTCAGAATAAATTTTTTTTAAGAAAAAAAAAAGGGGTAAAGTACAAAAAACTACCTCAACTATTGGTGTCACGACATTTTCATACCTCATCTTTTAAAATTAACAATGTCATACCTTATCTTACGAATTTGTGCCAATATTATACCTTCCGTTAGCTTGGCGTGAATTTCTCAGTTAAATGCTGACGTGGCTTGATTCGGTGCCCACTTTCTATTAAAAAAATTAATAAAATATTATTAAAAACTTAAAAAAAATCATTTAATATTTTTAAAAATATTAAAATAATAAAACAAAGTAAAAAAAAAAAAAAAAAAAAAACAAAAAAATCATTTCGTCCCTTTCCCTCACTCCCTCCCCCATCTACCTGCTGCAAGCCTGCAACCCAGAAAACCCTCCCCTATCTACCTGTTGCAAGCTTGCAACCCAGAAAACAAAAGAAGGAAAAATATAAACCTTCATCCCTTCCCACACTCCGCCACCCCTCCCCCCAAAAAAAACCCCGGCGTCCTTATTTCTTCTCCCCCATCCCCCCTCCCCTCTTCTCCCACCCGAGCCCCTACCTGCAACCCAGAAAAAAAAAAAATCCCCCCTCGCGTCCCTATTTCTTCTCCCCCATCCTCCCCACCCTCCTCTTCTCCCCACCCAAGCCCCTACCTGCAACCCAGAAAAAAAAAAAGAAAAAAAATCCTGGTTCGTCTTCCCCTCGCATCCACCCTCTGCACCTACCCCTCAAGGAATCAGCCTGGCGAACGGGATTTGGGTTTTTTTTTTTTTTTCTTCTTCTTCTTCTTCCTCCTCCTTCTTTTTCTTTTTGGGTTGCAGGGGGTTGGATTGTTTTTTGTTTGGGGGGGGGGGGGGGCGAACTGGGTTGGGGTTTATTTTTATTTTTATTTTTTCTTCCTTCTTCTTCTTCGGGGGGTTGGGGGTTAACGGGTTTTCAAATATTTTTATTTATTTTTGGTTGAAAATTACGCAGGGAAGAAGAAGATGGGGAGAGAGAGTCTTCTTCTTCTTCCTCTTCTTCGGGGGGGGGGGGTTGGGGTTAATGGGTTTTCAAAATTTTTTTATTTTTTTATTTTTTTTGGTTGAAAATTACTCGGAAGAAGAAGATGGGGAAAGAGAGAAGGGGGGAGGGGGGTGGACGAGACGAAAGGTTTTGATTTTTTTTTTTTAACTTTTCTTTATTATTTTAATATTTAAAAATATTAAATGATTTTTTTTTTTAGTTTTTTTTTTTATTTTTTTAATAGAAAGTGGGGTCTATATCAAGTCACGTCAGCATTTAACTGACAAATTAACGGCAGGCTAACGGAAGGTATAACATTGGCACAAATTCGTAAGATGAGGTATGACATTGTCAATTTTAAAAGATGAGGTATGAAAGTGTCATGACATCAATAGTTGAGGTAGTTTTTTGTACTTTACCCAAAAAAAAATCTAGGAAATATATGAAGTGTTCTTAACGGTAATAACCTTCGTAAATATGTAGCTCAGATAATGAACATGTTCTTACCGGTAATCATCTGTGTAAATATTCAGCTCAGAATTTGAACGTCTTCTTACCAGTAAGAATCTATGCAAATAAAAGATGCATGTTATGACATGCTAACCCTCACATCGTGACACGCCAAAACATCGTTGTTGGCATACGATGACATGTCATGGCATGCATTTTGCCGACGTTTTGCGCGTTTGGCATGGCTTGTCTTGACACAGTAACCCTCGCATCATGGCATGCCAAAACATCGTTGTTGGCCTCGACGTGACAAACTTTGCGATTTGTCAGCAGAATGCATGTCATGACACGCCATGCATTCTCTCTATAAACCCTAATGCTCTACTTGGTTTCTCATAAAATTTAGGTAATTGAAACTAAGATTTGGAGGGGAGAGAAAGAGCGAGTGGCGGAGCCGGTTTATCGGAGGAGAATTTGGAAAGCCAACAAGTTGTTAAGGTAAAGCTGAGGAAGGTGAACCGCACGCCAAAACATCGTTGTTGGCATGCAATGACATGTCATGGCATGCATTTTGCCGACGTTTTGTGCTCTTAGCATGACTTGTCTTAACATGGTAATCCTCGCATCGTGGCACATCAGACATTGTTGTTGGCCATGACATGACAAGCATCACGAATTGTTGGTATAATGCATGTCATGACACGCCATGCATTCTCTCTATAAACTTTAATGCTCCGCTTGGTTTCTCGGAAAATTTAAGAATTTCAAACTAAGAATTTGGAGAGGAGAGAAAGAGAGGCTTATGTACGTGATCGGCGAGTGGCAGAGCCAGTTTATTGGAGGAGAATTTCGAAAGCAAATGATGTCGTTAAGGTAAAGCTAAGGAAGGTGAACTGCCATGCAGTTTTGTTTTTTCCTTTATGGGTAACGCCTACCAACAATGATATTTTGACGTACCACGATGCGAGGGTTAGCGTGTCAAAGTGTTTGAAAATGCATGTCATGACTTGTCTTGACACGGTAGCCCTCGCATTGTGGCACGCCGGAACATCGATGTTGACCACAACATGACAAGCGTTGCGAAGTGTTGGCAGAATGCAAGTCATGACACATCATGCATTCTATCGACAATTTGCGAGGCTTGTCTCGATTGATGTAGTTTATTTCCCTAAGGCCCTTGAGCTTCCTCATGGCGTTGTGATTAAGTTATTTAAGCAGTTGGCTTCCAAGGTAATCTCATCTTTCAGTCAGTAATTAAACGAACTTTTCGGTTTTCAACAAAAAATCTGGTGGATTCCATAACTTGTTCTTCAAGAGCTTACATCGGTATCCCTTGTTAGCTTCGTGATGCGTCCTAAAAGAAACAAAAACAAAATTACATGAACTTGCCAAGGCCATATCACATCGAAGGATGGAAGTCTAGCATAAGAACTTCAAATATCGTTAGCCCCTCCACCCATTGTCTATATTCGTTTTTAAGAAATAATAACATTCTAACATAGTATCAGAGCAGAGCAACTTATACATCTACGTGTCATGCCCAACAGCCCTACGCACTCCGGCATTTCGCTGAAAAAATTATCCCCGTGTGACGCGCAAAAAGACGACAATACCTTGTCAAGTTTATAACTACTTGTCCTCAAGATTTGCTCACTTTTATCTCTTTGTTAGACACTTCAAATCAACAAAGCCAGTGTCAGTGCAGATCAAAACTTTTACGAGTTCAGAAAAATAAAAAAAAAGATGATGTTACTGGATAAAGATTTACTGGTTTCCATTATTTGATTGTTTCTTGATTACATAGTCCATCTCTTTTAATCGTTTCTCTTTTCCATTTGCACAAGTTCATCGCGACGTTTCGAGTTTGTAAAATTCAGGCAGACATGGCCATCAAAGAGAACGTAGAGAGGGATGTGCAGAAGGAGGAAGCAAGAGAGCCACTCATGAGGGTGGTGGAGAATAAAATGGACGGTGAAGATCGAAGCAGCAGAGGGGATCAATGGATGGTTTATCTCAGCACATTTGTTGCAGTTTGTGGCTCTTTTGAATTTGGATCCTGTGTAAGTGCTTAATTAATAGGGAAATCGACTGAAATGATCGTTTTACAAATATTGACGACATATCGATGAAATACTGAATAGTACTCATTTCAACAATTGGGATTTGTAAGAATTTTTTATCATTTCAGCCATTTTTCCTAATCAGTAGCATTTAGCTCTTCATTGGTGCACAGAAAAATTTGGGATCTTTGGAAGGTAAATTCTGACACTCTTTTGTGGATTCCAGGTTGGTTATTCATCGCCGACTCAATCTGCCATCAGGGAAGATCTCAGTTTAACATTAGCAGAGGTATGGAAAGTGATCATAACATGTAGGAATACAAATACAATGAATGGTTCATGAGTTGAGATTGTTGAAGAAATCGAAAAGCCTTACATCGGAAAGTTGACAAAATAATACAAATACAACAAATAGTTCTACTTCTAATTGTACCTAGATCTTTTGTGCATGATCTATACGCAGTTTTCAGTGTTTGGATCCATATTGACATTCGGCGCAATGATGGGTGCTATCACAATTGGTCCCATAACTGATTTTCTAGGCCGGAAAGGGGTACGAATTTGCAAAACTAACCTGAATACACTTGTTCAGAAACTAGTTCTGTTTCTACTGATATGTTCACTGTAAAATTGTATGCAGGCGTTGAGAGTTTCCTGTGCTTTCTGTGTTGTAGGTTGGCTCGCTATTTACTTCTCGAAGGTTCGTGTCATTTTACCTGCTACGCAAATATTTGTCCTCCGATATTGACCTTAATATATGTTCTTCATCGTATTGTGATTGAAGGGAGTTTTGTCTCTGGAAATTGGGAGACTGGCAAGTGGATATGGAATGGGAGCCTTTTCATACGTGGTGAGCTGTTACTCTCTTCTACATCTTGAGTATTTTCTGAGACCAAAAAATAAATTTAAGTACCATATAGATAATAAGGTACTAACAGAGTTTGATGCAATATTGGGTGGTTGATAATAAGGTACCTGTTTTCGTAGCTGAAATCGCACCCAAACATCTTCGAGGAAGACTAACTGCTGTAAATCAGGTAAAAATGTAACAAGAAATGCAATCCCTGAAGCTAACTAGCGACAATACCGATCTTATTTCAACAACAGAGTAATCGGTTTTGATGATATCTAACTTTGTCTGTTTATCGTTTATTTTTTTCAGTTAATGATCTGCGTTGGAGGGTCCATGTCGTTCATATTTGGGGTAGTAGTAAGTTGGAGGGATTTAGCATTAATCGGTGAATTGCTTAGACACACCGTGCTTAATCAGAAAACCCTGCGTTATCTAATACAGTAGCAGCTGGCTTATTTGTGTGGTGATTGCAGGAATTGTTCCATGTGCTGTGACCATTCTCGGCCTCTTTTTCATTCCTGAGTCTCCAAGATGGTTGGTAAGAAACCGATTTTCTTTTCTCTAATTATTTAGTGGTAACATTCAACCAAATGAAGACGAGGAATGTGACTTCATATTCAATGCAGGCAAAGACAGGACACCAGAAAGATTTCGAAGTTGCACTGCAGAAACTTCGTGGTAAAGATGCTGACATCTCTCACGAAGCAGCAGAAATCCAGGTTCTTTATCTCCTAACCTACATGAAAGTAGCATTCGGAAGATCGCATATATTAAGATAAGAAGTACCTTGACAGGATTATATAGCAACTCTTGAACGGCTCCCAAAAGCTAAATTACTGGATTTTTTTCAAAAGAGATACTTGCGGTCGATCATTGTAAGCTTCTTTTTGTATACTCGGATTTATGTTTTCTTGCCTTTAAGTTTAAGTAACTTTCCTTGACATTGCTTTTTTGTTTGATCAGATTGCGGTTGGGCTGATGGTCTGTCAACAATTGGGGGGAATTAACGGGGTCTGTTTCTACACCAGCAATATTTTTAAGCAAGCAGGTACAAAGGACCTACTTAGAATTCTGACACTACTGTAATCTATGTTTTCAGTATCTATAATTTCACCGTATGCTTCTGTATCTTTCATCTTCTCGAGTGCAAATTGAATGGCTTAAAGCAGATAATCTTGATCTATATGTTATATGGCAGGATTTTCGCCTAGTGTTGGAACCATATCCTTTGCTATCCTTCAGGTTCTAACCTCCTACTGTTACAGTACTTTGAATCTTTTAATTTCTCTCCATTGGAAGCATCTTGAAGCGGTTTTGTTTTACAGGTTGTGGTTACTGGCATTGGTGCATCTGTGATGGATAAAGCCGAAAGAAAGCCTCTAATTCTGGTAAACTAGTGTACAGCTAGTTTTAATTCTAGGAATTTTCTGAGACTAATTCCTATTCATATTCGGAAGGTTAACTCTTCTCGATTTTTCTAGATTTCTGCATCAGGCTTGGTACTCGGATGTCTCCTGACTGCCATTTCATTCTTTCTGAAGGTAACCCTCAACCACTGACCCTAACACCTCCTTTCATCTAGCGATAGTCTGACAAGAAAGCACTTCATGAACCAGGTTCATGACTTGGCACACAAGGCATCTCCCATACTTGCTGTAACCGGCATTCTGGTAAATCTTTAGCCTTATTGAAATACTTCATCCACACAGATCAGTCTTCTTTAGTATCGTGCTTTCGTTTATTGTACTTACGTTCTTTAACAACTAGTTTCCTGATTCAGGTCTATATAGGATCCTTTGCGATAGGAATGGGAGCAGTTCCTTGGGTCATTATGTCTGAGGTATATAAAATTTTCAAGATTTACCCTAATCTATCCATACATTACTGATCATCTCGCTAATCTAAATGAATTTCTGTTGCCGCAGATATTCCCTATAAATATCAAGGGGCAGGCTGGGAGCTTAGCGACGTTGGTGAACTGGTTCGTTGCATGGTTGTGTTCCTACACTTTCAACTATCTTATGAGTTGGAGCTCCTACGGTAACTACATTTTCCTTTGCTACTATGACTCTAGCAAGTTATTTGAACTGATAATTTACGTACGTGTGCGCGATTCTCAGGTACCTTCATTCTGTATGCAGCAATCAACGCTCTGGCCGTAGTGTTTGTGGTTTCGATGGTACCTGAAACGAAGGGGAAAACCCTGGAACAAATCCAAGGAGCCATTAACTAGTAGAGAACAAAAGGAAGGAAACGAAGAGCATTCGTTGCAGTAAATTTCAGTGAAAATTTTGACAAATCAATGCAGCAATTTTGTAGATGAAATCTTCAAAGAAACAAAAAGAATATTGTATCTCTTTTTAAAGATAAATTTCATATCAATCCTTCCTCTCATATTTATCTGTGTGAATAGTGGCAGAGCTAGCTTGGGTTCAAAACTCGGCCGTTTTTGAAACCAATCCTTAGTTAAAATGCAAGTTAATCCTACAAAAAGCACCAGTTATGTGCTCCTTAGTTAAAATGCAAGTTATGTGCTTCTTCCAGGAAGCACTTGTGCTTTTGGAACCTAAAACTATTTTCTCTAAAAGCGTTTTCAGTAATTTAAAACTAAGTCTCAAATGAGCTCTAATTAATTTTAACTCCGTTTTGCACATCGATTATGCCTATACATTCGTAATGACGAGTACCATAATCTTGGAAGACAAGTTTTTCTTTTCTTTTTTGTGGTAAGAGTTCACGAGATTCACTTTCTCTTGGAAATACTCTAAATATTAATCACTTACTAAACGTATGAGATTCGCTTTATCTTGCGTATATGCAATTATTATATATGCCTCACCCTGTTCATTTGGAAGTAGGTCCTCCTTCTGACAGACTAACATCATGTTTTATTTAATGGAAAAGTATAACAAATTGAATTATATGAACTTATGATGGCACAACTTAACAAAGTGTCACTTTAATAGTATTTCAAGTTAATTACACATTTTTCGTCTCTTTTCTCATACGTCACTCTACATGGTCGTGTAATTTCTCTGTCAAAAAAATGAATATAAAGGGAGTTGTCCTCAAATTGCAACATCTGGTAAACTACACGGTCAATTGGTAGAAGCGAAACTACATGACTAAAATGGAACTCGGAGCAAACTACAAGGACCCAAAAAGAAATTTGGCCTTATAATATAAGATGATGCTATCCACACGCCTTTTTTACCTCTCACACACCACTTGTTAATTTCTGTCTTTTAATCTTGTGTAATTCATTCGATCCACGGCTAAAAATTGAGAGGAGTGTGTAAAAGATAAAGGATGTGTGTGGATAGCACCACCCATATAATATTCCTGCCTTGTCAGCTTATACTTGAGTACAAGAATTGCTTACTTTTAAAGCTTTGTTAATTACTAAAAAACAAGAGCATCAGTTAGAGGGAGAGCATCAAAATTTCATAAGTTCAGAAAAAGATAAAAGAGTAAAAAGATGCTTTTGCATATAAATTCACATCCATTTTGTCCAAGAAGATAAAAATTTCATGGTTTCCATTCTTTCACAGTTTCTTGCTCACACAAACCCTGTGTTTGAATCATTTTCTCTTTGCCATTTATACTAGTTCATCGAGACGTTTCGAGTTTATACAATCCAGGGCAGACATGGATGGTGGAATAAGAGAACCACTCATGGCTGATGAAAGCAGAAGAGGGGATCAATGGATGGTTTATCTCAGCACACTTGTTGCTGTCTGTGGCTCTTACGAATTTGGATGCTGTGTAAGTGCTTATTCTGCTTGGAAAAAAAAGTGCTTATTCTGCAGTTTTTTTCCTTCTTTAGCTTGTTATGGATGGTAAATTCTGACAGTAAATCTATGGCTTCCAGGTCGGTTATTCGTCACCAACCCAGTCTGCAATTAGGGAAGATCTTAATTTAACATTAGCAGAGGTATGTATAGCTGATGTGCCATTGCTTTCAGTCTCCAGACGCTGCTCGTGAAGCAGACCTACATAGGGAGAGTGCAGGATGACTTTCTGGAGCGAAAATAGCAGCTCCCTAATGCTTTAGAGTCATCTTGACAACTTCAAAAGCTGAAGTTTCGTCTTCTTCCTTTACATATGTATGCAGTATTCAGTGGTTGGCTCCATTTTGACAATTGGTGCAATGGTAGGAGCTATCACTATTGGGCCTATTGCGGATTTTCTTGGTCGAAAAGGGGTACGAATTGGGGCTTTGGGTTCAGAAATTTTAGCAGGAAATGAATTCTGTTTCGACTGGTATTTGCTGTCTAACAATATCTTCACTGTAAAATTGTATGCAGGCCTTGAGAATGTCTTCTGCTTTCTGTGTTGCAGGTTGGCTTGCTATTTACTTCTCCGAGGTTCATATTACACCTGAAACTTTTCTGTACTTCTACCTACTAAACGAATATTTCCTCGAAGATTTGGCCCTAATTTATGCTTTCCATCTTATTGCTTTTGAAGGGGGTTTTGTCATTGGACATTGGGAGAATGGCAAGTGGATACGGAATGGGAGCCTTTTCGTACTTGGTGAGCTATTACTCTCCTCTATAGCTTGAGTATTTTCTGAGACCGAAAAATTACTTATAAGTACCTTATAGATGATATTTCAAAACATGTTAAGGTACCTGTTTTCATAGCTGAAATCGCACCCAAAAATCTTCGAGGAAGACTGACTGCTGTAAATCAGGTAAACATGTAACAAGAAATGCAATACTTCAAGCTAACGAGAAACAACACCGATTATTCATATCTGACTTCTCTTATTCAATTTTTTTCAGTTAATGATCTGTGTTGGAAGCTCTGTTTCCTTCATAATCGGGGTAGTCGTAAGTTGGAGGGCATTAGCATTAATCGGTGAATTACTTAGACAACTGTATTCTTTAAACTCCATGTTATCTAACACATTAGCACAGGGCTCATTTGTGTTGTGATTTCAGGAATTGTGCCGTGTGCTGTGTCTATTTTCGGTCTTTTTTTCATTCCCGAGTCTCCACGATGGTTGGTAAGAAACTACTTTTATTTTACTTTTTACTAATCATTCAGAGGTAAAATTGAACGAAATGAAGTCATAGAATATGACTTCATGATCAATGCAGGCAAAGACAGGACGCCATAAAGATTTCAAAGCTGCACTACAGAAACTTCGTGGCAAAGACGCTGACATCTCTCACGAAGCAGCAGAAATCCAGGTTCCCATCTCCTAACCTACATGACAGTATCTTAAGAGCATCCGTATGATCGGTTATGTTAAGAAATTCCTTGACAGGATTACATAGCAACTCTTGAACGACTCCCTAAAGCGAAGTTGCTGGATTTGATTCAAACGAGATACTTGCGCTCAGTCCTTGTAAGCTTCTCTCTTCCATTTCTATAGTCGGTTCTATCTTTCTTTGCGTTTGAGTTCGCTTTCCATTTGGTTGTTTCTTTTTTTTATCAGATTGGCATCGGGCTGATGGTCTGCCAACAATTAGGGGGAATTAACGGGGTTGGTTTCTATGTCAGTGATATTTTTGAGCAAGCAGGTTAAAAGGCCATACTTTCGAAAGTACATCTTTGCGTTCTGACACTACTACTACTACTTTATATGTTTTCAATCTACAACACTCAACTTACGTTCAGTCTGTTTTTATCTCCATTAGTGCAAATTGAATCATTTACTTAAGCAAATAATCTTGTCCTACAATTGAAATCTTGATGTTATTGGTCAGGATTCTCGTCCAGCGTTGGGACTATATCCTTTGCTGTTCTTCAGGTTCTCAATTCCTACTGTGACAGCATTCGGAATCTTTTAATTTCTCTCCGTAAGAACTGTCTTGAAGTGGTTCTGTTTTTACAGGTTGTGGTTACTGGTATTAGTGCATCCGTGATGGATAAAGCCGGAAGAAAGCCTCTAATTGTGGTAAGCTAGTGCGTGATTTTAGTTCCACGAATTTTCTGAGACAGATTCCTTTTCCTATCCAATATGTTTTAATTTATTTTTTCTCTCTAGCTCTCTGCATCAGGCTTGGTACTCGGATCTCTCCTGACTGCCATTTCATTCTTTCTCAAGGTAATCCTCAGCCTTCATTGTTCACCCTACCATAGAATGCTCTAGATTTATCCGAAAATAACCTGACAAAGAGTGCACTTTGTGAACCAGGTTCATGACTTGGCACACAAGGCATCTCCCATACTTGCTGTAACCGGCATTCTGGTAAATCTTAAGCCTCGTTGAAATACTTCATCCACACAGATCAGTCTCCTTTAACATCGGGTTTTCGTTTATTGTAATTGCATTCTTTAACAACTAGTTTCCGGATTCAGGTCTATATTGGATCCTTTGGGATAGGAATGGGAGCAGTTCCTTGGGTCATTATGTCTGAGGTAGACATAAAAATCTAAGTTTATCACAAATCTATCCATTAATTACCAATCATCCTGCTAATCTAAACAAATTTACTGTCTGCTGCAGATATTCCCGATAAACATTAAAGGGCAGGCCGGAAGCGTAGCAACACTAGTGAACTGGTTCGGCGCATGGTTGTGTTCCTACACTTTCAACTATCTTATGAGTTGGAGCTCCTACGGTAACTACATTTTTCTTTCTTGTTACACAACAAGAACTAAGGACTAATACTTAAGGTTAAGATTATAAATCTCCCAGAAGTTATAAGATCTGATAACTTACGTGCACGCGATTTTCAGGCACCTTCGTTTTGTATGCCGCAATCAACGCACTGGCCGTAGCTTTCGTGGTTTCGATGGTCCCTGAAACGAAAGGGAAAACCCTGGAACAGATTCAAGGAGCCATTAACAAGTAGAGAACAAAGGGAAGAAAACGAAAAGAAATGAGGAGCATTTGTTTACTGCAGTAATTCTGCGTGAAATTTAGACAAATGAATGCAGAAACTTGGCAGATGAAATCTTTGAAAACCAGAAGAATATTGTGCTGCTATTTTCCCAGATAATAAAACCAATTCGCGACAGAATTAGGTTTTCTTTTGTTGCAAGAAATGTTTGATATTTTATTATTTATTTGCTTCGTTTTGCCTTTTGTTTAACCATTAATGGACCAGAAAATTAATTTTCACCTGTGGGAAAAAGGAGGAAAAGCAAACGGCTTATTTGCGCTTATGCGGAAGTTACCTACAATATCTTAAACCAATCACATCCAGTCATGTGAGAAACTTAAACGTGTGACATCCATGTTATTTTCTCTTGGATCGGGGTCTTTTTTGCATGTTGTTAGTGTTTTAACTTTTAAAAGAAAAGTGAACGACATGTTGATATGTTCAATTTGAATAGAACAATAATATTAAGTGTCCACTGTTCTAAAATTTCTGCCTAATGCTACTTAGGCTCTGTCTAGACGCTAAGTAGGCGACTGGCCACCTCCTTGATTTATTCTTAGGCATTTGAATAAGAAAAGGCGCCCACACCTGGCTAGGCGCCCGCCTAATCCACCTAAACCCGCATAAGTAGTGATTCTCATTTAGATAGAAAATAGATTAACTTTTATTTTGCATTTTAGTTTTTCAATAAATTTTAAGAGACTTGTTGAATATTCGGATGAACACTCATTAAATTTTAAGAGCCCCATGTTTCCAATATGTTTTGATACCTCATAGACTATATATCATTTTATTTGATAATTTATGTATCCAAATAGTATTACATAATAAATTTAATCAAAACATAAAATAAAAAAAACCGCCTAGTCCTCGCGTAGATACCGAGGCCCTAGACCTCTGCCTCCGACCGACTAGCACCTAGCGTTTTTTAAAACTTGCATGTATTCCGTGTTCCGCCTTCGAAAACATTGAAGAAACCGACTGTTTTTTAACATTATCCAACTCTGCCATGCTTATCTGGAAGTGGAAACATGTCTCCTTAATTATTTGCATGCAAACAAATTCAAAACGGTAAAGATTATTATTATCATCGTCGTTTTATTAAAAGGATTAGTGCTGGGATGCACTGCCTTGTCAGCAAATACACAATTAGTAGCAATCTTTTGAGCAAGTCAAGTTTTTAACTAATTGAGCACCAGAATTGCCTACTTTTGAGCTCCTTTGTTCAAACTTATTAAACAGAAACAGAAACAGAAACAATGTCATCAAAGAGGCAGTTTAGATCAAACTTAGAAGCTCGAAAATGATACTTTCGTCGAAAATTTAGAATTTTTTTACATCCCTTCTGACCTCGTTTGAATCTTCCTTCCTTTTGACATTTGTAAAGATTCATAAACATACCGGAGAGTCATATAATCGGGCAGGCATGGCCATTGAAGATCTATCAAAGAATGCTGCACGGGAGGAGATGAGAGAGCCGCTGGTGAGGGCAGTGAAAGCGGCTGATGGAGATGGATCAGGTCATGGAAGCGCCAAAGGCGATCAATGGATGGTTTACCTCAGCACATTTGTTGCAGTCTGCGGCTCTTATGAATTTGGTTGCGGCGTAAGTGCTTAGGATTTATTCAGGTTTTCGTTCCCACAGCAGCGATCTCTGGACAGGCGAGTTGTTTTGGTATTTTGGTTCTGACACTCTCTGTATGACTTCTTCCAGGTTGGTTACTCGTCGCCCACTCAGTCTGGCATCATGAAAGATCTTGGTTTGTCATTAGCAGAGGTATGAATGTGATTAGGATTACACAAAATGCATGCATGTTAATGTAGTGAATGAATGAAAATATGCATTGTGGCAGACTGGCAGTTTCAATCAGATTCATGGCTGTTAAGCCATGCTTTCGATCTCTGAGGCGCTACCAGTAACCATAGGGAGAAGTTTTCGATTCAAGAAAAGATGTAAACATTCTGCATCATAATTTATGGATTTGAAAACTGAAAATCTTACCTTCTTGTGCATCTGTATGCAGTATTCAATGTTTGGCTCCATTTTGACATTCGGTGCAATGATAGGTGCTATCACAATCGGGCCGATCACTGATTTTCTTGGTCGAAAAGGGGTATGAGTTCGAAAATTATGTCGAATATAGACATCACCTAATTCGGTTCACCAATATTCGCCGTCTAACAGTATCAATACTGTAAAATTGTATGCAGGCCTTGAGAATGTCCTGTGTTTTCTGTGTTGCAGGCTGGCTTGCTATTTACTTCTCCAAGGTTCGTACCAATTTTACTGCTGGAATTTCTCTGTGATTTTACCTTCTCATTAAATATTTGACCTTATTCGTGTTCTTTATCATTTTCTGTTGAAGGGGGCTGTGTCTCTGGACATCGGAAGAGTGGCAACTGGGTACGGAAGTGGAGCATTTTCGTACATTGTGAGTCACCACCCTCTTCTGCAATTGAGTATTTTGTACACCAAACTATAACTATTTAAAGATTCAACACATGTTATCAACATAGTCTGATGGAATAATAGGTACCTGTTTTCGTAGCTGAGATTGCGCCCAAAAATCTTCGAGGAAGATTAACTGCTGTAAATCAGGTAAACATGTAATGAGAAATGAATTCCGTGATACCTGCAAGTGTTTTGGACCATAACTAACATTGCCCTATTCGCATTTTATAGTTAATGATTGTTTCTGGAGTGTCCGTTTCCTTCATTATCGGGGTAGTAGTGCATTGGCGGGCTTTAGCACTAATCGGTGAATTTCTAAGACAAAATATGCTTTTAGTTAGAACACCCTATGATATGTAATTAAGTGAGTGCTCACCTGTGCGATGATTGCAGGAATTGTTCCCTGTGCTGTGATCATTTTCGGTCTCTTTTTCATTCCCGAGTCTCCAAGATGGTTGGTAAGAAAGTACTCTTTTGCATTTTCTGTTTATCTGATGGCAACATTCAATAAAAAGAAGACATACATTACAATTTCATCATGGATGCAGGCAAAGACAGGACGCCGGAAAGAGTTTGAATTAGCGCTGCAGAAACTTCGCGGCAAAGACGCTGACATATCTGATGAAGCAGCAGAAATCCAGGTTCTTATTTTTAATACCTGCTCTCCATCTCCTAGACCATAATGACAATATGTTTGAGCATTTCGAAGATCATATATTTAAAGTAATACTGTGTAATACCTTGGCAGGAGTATATCGCAACTCTTGATCGGCTCCCTCAATCCAATTTGCTCGATTTGTTTCAAAGGAGATACTTGCGCTCGGTCATTGTAAGAACTTCTCCCTACACCATGTGTACAGTCAATTTTATTGTTCTTTCCCTCAAGCCAAATTGCTCTATTTGTTTCAGATTGCAGTCGGGTTGATGGTCTGTCAACAATTGGGGGGAATCAACGGGGTCTGTTTCTATGTCAGTGATATATTTGAGCAAGCAGGTATATATATACAACTTCAATATACCTGTCTGTATCCTTTTCATTTTCCAGAGTGCAAACTGAATCACTCACTTAAGAAAGATATTGTTTTCTGCCTCAGGATTTTCTCCAGACATCGGAACTATAACCTATGCCATTCTTCAGGTTCTACATGCTTACTGTGACAACTCTTGGAATATTTCAATTTCTCTCAGTTATAAGCATCTTGATCTGGTTCTGATCTACAGGTTGTAGTAACTGGCCTTGGTGCAGCCGTGATGGATAAAGCGGGAAGAAAACCTCTAATTTTGGTAAGTCAGAGCACAGTTTTAGTTCTTTGAGAATTTTATGAGATAGATTCCTATTCATTCGCGGAAGTTTTAACTTGTCCCCAATTTACTCTAGGCTTCTGCATCCGGGTTGATACTTGGCTGTGTCCTCGTTGCCATTTCATTCTTTCTGAAGGTAATCCTCGAACATTGACCCTAATCTTCGTGTTTAGCTTTATCCAACATAACGATGACAAGAGAGCTCTTTGTTTACCAGGTTCATGAACTGGCACGCGATGCAGCTCCCATATTTGCTGTAGCAGGCATATTGGTAAGTAACTCCTTTATCTCATCCATGCAGATCAGTTTGAAAACTATCTTTTTCATGTATTTTCTTCTCCTTACATTCTTTAGCTAACAGTTAGTTTCTGAATTCAGATCTTTATAGGATCTTTTTCGATAGGGATGGGAGCAGTTCCGTGGGTTATAATGTCGGAGGTATATAAGATTTGCAAGATTTATTCATTTCTCCATCAATCGTTGTCTTGATCAAGTCACCAATCTATAGAAAATTTCTATCCTCTACAGATATTCCCTATAAACATTAAAGGACAGGCCGGAAGCTTAACAACGTTAGTGAACTGGGTTGGTGCATGGCTGTGTTCCTACACTTTCAACTTTCTTATGAGTTGGAACTCATATGGTAAATAGAATTAACATCTTCCGTTCTAATTACGTCGTAAGGAGTAATATTCAGTAAACTTATAAAGCTATCTAAATGTACATGGTAGTTACTAATAAAAGTTATAAAGCAATTTATTAACTTACTTGTGCATGATTTTCAGGTACCTTCATTCTGTATGCAGTGGTCAATGTTCTCGCTGTGTTGTTCGTGATTGCTGTTGTACCTGAAACAAAGGGAAAAACCCTGGAACAAATCCAAGGAGAAATTAACAATTAAAAGGAACCAAAGAAATGAAAGGCAACTGTTGTCCGAAATTCTCATTGAAAATGGACTGCTTTATTTAGATAATTAAATTGATTCATGATAGAACTACGTTTGTTGTAATATATATAATGCTTTTATTTACCACGCAAGAGCAGTAAAGTAACAAGAACCAGAATATAAACAGAGTAGCAGACATCCTGGTTATCGAACAAATATTACTAGATTTGTTTTACAACAATGAAATGGTACGCTATGTCTGTAATTTGGGGTCCAACATGACATATCGTACAGCAACAGAGCTCATCCTGCCAAGAGTAAATGTTGTATTATCTTCCCAATGAATAATTCAGGAAATCGTAACAAGAGCAGATTGTTCAAGCAACCGAACAATTTCACGATTTCTTATGATCTTGGGTGGTTTATATTGACTAGCTGGTGCTCCATTCCCGATGGCTACCTGTGATAGTCTGTCAAAGCTACCGGACTTTACAACATATAACAGCAAAGGGCCTGCTTCACCTCTATCTCTCTGCACCTTGTAAATGCCTCCCAAACCATCCTCGACAGAGGAACAACACCTCCTAAGAACTACAAGCGAGTCCTCTATCTTCTCCTGTGTAAACAACATGCATCTCTCTCCAACTTCTGCAAATACCTTCAACTGTTTTGGGCTCAACTCAGTATCTAAAAAACTTGCAAACTCAGTAATCTCCGTTGCCATTGCATTTTCAAGCATAAGCTGGAAACTTTGCATTGCAGACATCAAGTCCTTCTCGGTTATAATCTCACCTGGGCCTTTGGGTGCTCTCATCACAAATTCAACTTCCGGAGACAAATTATAAAAACCAACAACTCTCACTATATCACCCAAATGGTACCGGTAAAATCCTCTGTAAGTAGTAACAAGCACTTGATACATCTTCCCCACCTCAACACCAGAAATATCGACCGTTTCTGTACCGGCATCATTAGTCTCGTTCATATCGAATGGAAGAAACTCAAAATAGGCGGCAGTTGGAAGCAAAACAAATTTAGTTTTCTCAGGGGGTTGCATAATATCCAAGTTGATACCCACACAGCATTCCGAAGCGAAGTAGTCTCCACCTAACAGAGGTATCGCTCCTGCATAGTGCTTAAGTTTCGGATAATACTGCTCCATACTTCCAGTAGCAACACACTTAACATAACGAGCATTTGGCCACAACTTGCTCACAATCCCACTCCAACTCTTCCCCTCGAAAACTGTCCGAAGTCTCTTTGCCAAGTCCGGTTGAGGCCCTCCAAGGACATCAACAACAGAATCCCTCATAGCAACATCAGCAATCTCCAAACTCAGTATCCCGTGTTCAAGGTCATTACACATCTGCTCCCACTTGGACTCGAGGAGGCGAAACACTTTGATCAAGCCTATTGCATAAGGGGCTCGAACTGCATCGATTGAATCACAGTTCCTAAGGCCACAAAGGAGATGGCAATACATCTGGTGCTCAACATTCGACCCGAGAATGACTTCCCGGGGACTCGAAATAAAGCTAAGCTGAGACCAATTTGCATTGCCACTCTGCAAAGGGTATGTCGAAGCAGCCATAACCTTAAAACCACCTCTTGTAGTTGTCACATTGTCGGCATATATAAACCACATTATCTTATTCACTGAGGGCCTCGGAGGAAACAGCCTAGTACAAATTTTTAAGACAAACCCATTACTCAAAATCCAAATATCATAACAAAATTAATAAATAAAAGCTACAAATCTACAGGTAAAAATCATTAAGTCATAAGAAATTCGAGAAAAAAAGAGCAAACTACTGGTAAAATTCAATAATTTTTTTTTTCAAAAATTATACCTTCTGAGAATTGCAGAACCGCCCTGGTGAGCTATAAAGGAGGCACCTTTGGAGAGTTTGGAATCGAAGTAAGGTATCAACTTTGGCCTCGGTGAGCTTGTCCCGGAGCTTCAAAACCCCAAATAAAAAGAATCGATTTTTCATTCGATTGATGAAGAATCAAAGCAGTAAGTGATTATATATGTACGTATATGTGTATTGTACCTGTAGAAGAAGCAGAGCAGTGGATCGACTGAGAGGAGAGGCTGTTGATGATGAATATGTGGAGTGTCCGCCATTTGATTGATGAATTCGGCGTAGTCGTCGTAGGTAGATAGCGGCACGGAGCGACGGAATGCGGCGGCGTCCGGCGGCGTATTGTGGGGCGGGAGGTAAGGCTGGAGATAGGCGACGGAGCCGTTCTGGTCGAGGATGGAGCGGAGGGCGTCGATCTGGTGACGCGTGGCGTTTCTGGTGGAGTCATCGAGTTTGGTTAGCAGCTCGTCGTCGGTCATGTCGTTCGGGAGGGGCGATCGCGAGGGAGAAGAAGAACAGAGAAACAGCGCGCTTCGGTTTCAACGGAGGTCGCACGTAGAACACTAATTAACGCCCAAAAGACAATTATGCCCATATAGGGAAAATGGTAATTTTGTCTTTACCAGTTGAAATTTTTTTTATTTTTTTTTGTTATTGACAACGGAGGACAAGCTCGAAAGAAAAAAAAAGATTACATGAAAATGTTTTGAGATGATGAAACTTCAGTAGATCTACAACTAGCAACAGAAGACAAAAAAGAGGAGTTTGCTAAGAAAAACTAGACCCAAACTGCATGACAAATTCAAACGAGCAACATTAACCGCAACAAAATTCTTTTGTGGATAAACATGAAGAATTCACAAAACCATCTTTGATACGTAATAGCATGACAATTCAATACTAAACTTCCCAGATGATCATTCGTTGGGGGTCTCCATTCTTTTTGCACCGTTTTCTCAAAACAATAGAAGAAGCAGAGAGGCTAAACAGAGTCTACAGAGGGAGGCTACGACGATGTGGACTATCAGGCCATTTTAACCCATCAATTCGGCATAGCCGTCTTTGGAAGACAAGGGCGTGGCGGTATGCGGTGGCGCTTTGTGGTTGTTCTTGCGGCGGAGGTAAGGCTAGAGACAATATACGACGGCGTTGGTGGATGTTGAAGCAGCAGAGTATCCAGTACATATAGTTAGTTGGTGATTAAAACTGATACAGTTAAATAAATAAAAATTATAAACCATAAATTAAATCCATATATAAAGAGAAGATAGTGGAAATTAAACCGAGTGACTTTGCGCAAAATCGAGTATAATGGCGTTCAATGATTCGCTGACACCACTTAGTCCGATAAGCCTTGTTTGTTGACAGCAGAAATGCATGCAAGAATGCTTAATTAACAATTGTGCTCTGCTTAATTAGATAATTAATTGGGGGATGAAGTCTTGGAAGTTGATGAAAGATAGCAGTAAGAAAACCAAAGCTACTGCAAATGGACCCGCCGCCGCAGAAAGGAGGAAGATCGTCAGGTGAGGACGGCGACGATCGTGACCGTCGGAATAATCGCCGTAGTGTTGGTTTTCTTGAATATTCTGACAGGCGGAGGCAGTTGTTGGGTGGTGGCATTGGAAATTATGGGATTGTCGGTACGGGAACGGACGGTCAAGATTCACGGGAAGATGAGGAGGATCGTTACTACGCTAGCTGCAGAGGCGGCGGCCGCTGTGGCAGTCGGAGGTTGGACTTTGACTTGAAGATGAGTACGGAAATCCTAGGCTCCGAGAGCGGCGATCATTTCACGGCGGAGGACGACGACGGCTTACTGTCAACAAGATTAATATCGTCGTCTTCTTCAGCAACATCAGTACTGAAAACGACGTCGGGGATGTTGAAAACAGAGAGGTCGGTGACGGCGAGGGATTTCCCGCCAAATTTGGCACCAATTCAATTCTTGTCGACGCTCAACAGGTACGGACGGCCTAGATTCATTGTCGAGAAAGTGAGTATGGGCGATGGACGGCTCTTGATTTACATGGACAAGGACCGCCGCCCCAGGGCTGTTCCAGCTGATAATTGGAGGAGGAGCACCGGTAGTAATGCCGCAGGCGGTGGAGTTAATAACGGAGCCACCGTGAGCAAGAAACTTGGGATTTCTTACAATTCTGATTCTGATTCTGATCAAGAACAAGAAGATGATGATCAGATATTGGTGGAAGAAGATGATCAAGAAATTTAGAAGAATGTATAATTTTTTACCCAATTTTGATTGTCTAAATTTCATATAACTCAGCATTAATCACTTGTTAATTAGCCCATACTAGTGATAAAGAAATTTTTAGTGCCGGAAAAACAGGTCCGTATACTAAACGTCATATATAATTGACTAGAATTTTTTTTTTTTTAATTTCTAACTAATTGTATTATTATACTTGGTGTATTATGTATTTCCGGTACAATAAAAATCTCCCCTAGTGATGTTTGAGTTTGATCTACCGTAAGCGAAAGTCAAACTTAGTGTATGTGGAGGGGAAGTCCAACTCGATTTACGAGACGGGTTACTCTTAACTCGATTTCATTTAGTCAATTTGATTACGCTTATAGTCTTCTTTTGATTTTATATAGGGGTGTGATATCCACACATCTCATTTTACTTCTCACACACCTTTTTAATTTTCGGCCGTCGGATCATATGAAATTAAGAAGATTAATGAACATAAATTATTAAGGGGTGTGTGAGAAGTAAAATGGAATGTATGGATAGCACACCCCTTTTATTTATATGTATAGATATTTTAGCTTAATCTAATCTTAAACTCGAAGAAGGGGAATTTGAACTTGATTTCATAGGAGTACACATCCGCTCTAATTTGCTTAAATTAAGCATTAGAGTTAAATAATGTGGTCTTAATCAATTAATTAGGAGTTTCCAATTAATTCAAGAAGTACACGTATCTTTTCCACTGAAAGAGACCATTGTATACCATTAGTCAAATGATGTCTACTTAGTATTGAAAAGTCACATTTTTTAATACGCAGTACCTGGTTCTTTATAAACTCATAAAACCATTGGTATTTAGGGTAGAAAATTAGAGTTAATTCTTACTCTTGAGAAATAGGTTTTCCCACTATGTTTCTCTCATTTTTTTGTTGTTCAATTGCAAGTTGTGTCTTGAAAAT